CCTTCCTTCCTTCCTTCCTTCCTTCCTTCCTCGCTTCCAACACTTACGGATACACTTCGGTTCTATGCTCCATTTTCCGTCTGACTGGCAGATAGCACTAGGATTTCCGTCCAACTCGAATCCTTCATCACATTTAAAAGAGATAGATTTTTGGAAGGTCGTCTCACTACCGATTACAGTTCCGTTCTTTAGTACTTGAGGCGGTCCACAATCGATGACTGAAGAGCAAGAATAAAGCAAATAACAAAAGGAAATAAGGTTAGAACTATGAAATATTTAGCTTCTAGCCTTGGCCATGTGCATAGATTTATGTAACCCCTCCAATTAAAAACTTCTTTTGCTTGGGTGTAATGTAATTAAAAACTTCTTTTGCTTGGGTGTAATGTTTTCCCATTGAAGACGTGCCATTTTTTGATATTAAGATTCTTTGTTTGAGTTGTATCCATATTCATGTGTTTTCTAATGCTCAACCGTTAAAGAAAGAAACATCCTCTAGCGAATGACACGTGGTCTCTCCTACTTTTGAAGAATCTTCTACTCACGTTTACAGGTTGGTTGTGTACCACTCCACGTGTTGTTATGAAGACATCTTCTTTTTTCAGAACCAACACGAACGTATCCAATGTTACAAGAGAARAACACTTCCCTTCCTGGTGCGTAAGATATTCCTACTTTATTGCCGTTMTCTGGTGTACCAGGATCCCCACATCCTCCCTCTGAAACACGACAATAAAAACAACATGCGTAAGTCAATCTTTCCCGCTCTTTTTAAACGCGCGTACCATTTACCAGAAGTTAAAGGCTCCCGCCAAATCTTAGAACGAGCGCACCATTTACCGGAAGTTAATATAAAGGTTATCCGCCATTTTCAGTACGCGCGTACCATTTACGGGATATATATAATTCTGGCAGTACCATTTACATATACGAAACGTTAGAGGGTCCCGCTCTTTTTAAACGCATTTTTAAACTTTTAATACCATTTACCAAAAGTTAAAGGTTCCCGCCAAATCTTAGAACGCGCGCACCATTTACCGAAAGTTAAAGGTTACCGCCATTTTCAGAACGCGTGTACCATTTACGGGATATATATATTTCTGGTAGTATTCTGGCATGAAGTGTGTCGTTGTCACATGGCTGTCAGCCATTACTTACTATCACATCTAAAAGGCATTACATTCCACCTTCCCATGAAACACAATGTTGTTGATATTCCTTCTTGATTGTAACCTGCATCACATTTGAACGTCACTCGATCACCAGAGGCGTATTTAGACTTCTTGTTTTCGATGTAGGCGTGTTGAGGAACTCTTGGCTGGCCGCAGTCCGGTACTGAAATGNACGTCACTCGATCACCAGAGGCGTATTTAGACTTCTTGTTTTCGATGTAGGCGTGTTGAGGAACTCTTGGCTGGCCGCAGTCCGGTACTGAAATGTAGAAAATAATATTGAACCAATATATTAAACAAATAAACATCTTAAAACTGCAATATGTTGTACTCGCTGCTAAACAAGAAGTAAAGCGTCAAATTTACTCAATACTCACAACAGGAAGGTACTGCTCCTCCCCATCTCTTCTTGGCTGTACATCTTCGTACTCTATCGCCGTTGAGGGTGAAGTTCTCTTGACACTTGTACGTTACAGTGTCATTGTATCCAGTGTTATTGAATTTTATAAGAGCGTTCTTAACTCGAGTGGGGGAAGGACACTGCAGACCTAGGATCAAGTAAAAGAGAAAGAAAGCATGAAAGCTTTGGAGATATGACTCCAACCTGCCACACAATCTCTGGGCTAATCAGAATGGCTAACTCACAGATCGAACCCTAAAACAATATCTGGGCTTATCTAAATCAGGGCATGGCTAACTCACAGATCAAACCCTGAAACAACCTCTGGGCTAATTTAAGTCAGGGCATGGCTAACTCACAGATCAAACCCTGAAACAACCTCTGGACTGATCTAAGTCAGGGCACAGCTAAATCACAGATCAAACCCTGAAACAACCTCTAGGCTGATCAAAGTCAGGGCATGACTACCTCACAGATCAAACCCTGAAACAACCTCTGGGCTGATCTAAGTCAGGGCATGACTACCTCACAGATCAAACCCTGAAACAACCTCTGGGCTGATCTAAGTCAGGGCACGGCTAACTACTCACAGATCAAACCCTGAAACAACCTCTGGGCTGATCTAAGTCAGGGCACGGCTAACTCATTGGAATTTAGTTACTCTACTCACATTTGATGTAGAGTCCAGAAATTAAATCCAAAAGGACGAACTGATTAAAATATCCACTCCAATATCTCTTTCAAAATGTATCACGCCTAGTATTGTCTAGAAGTACAGGAATAGGAAATATAGACTCACCTTGCTCAACACAACTGTAGCCGCACTGCCCGTCACAAAGACATCTGTGTCCCGCGGGACACCCAACAGGATCGTCGGGGGAACATTTATTAGTACACCTGGTTCGAGAGGCGCGGATTGTTCTTGGACAGGAATGTGTTGCTAAAAAATTCACAAGTCCAAGAAATAATGTTTGGTGGCGGGTTTATTGATGGGTGGGGAATGGAAACTAGAATTTCAACTACTAGAAACTGTAGGGAATGGTTTACTTCCCTAGAGTATCATTTCTTTGTTTAACGGTTGTTTAATACTTGTGACAAGGGGCTTGGGGCTGATTCTTAGAGAAGGATGCAGACTTTGTACCAACCTTTGCATTCAAATGGAAATGCTGTCCACCTTCCAGATATACAAATTCTTCTTGGATTACCCTCCTTTATGAAGCCCGTTTTACAGTCAAGCGTAATACTCTCTCCTGTCTTGTACTCTGACTTGATGTTAGTCTTCACGTACGAGCCAAATGGCAAGTCGGGCTGCTGGCAAACGGGCACTGGAAGTGATATCGGGTACTCTAAGATAGGTTTAGGCAAGGCGGTACCATAACAAGGGGAAGGGAAAATCACACTGTTCATCTGGTGACGTCGCGTGACACCCATTCTATGCTGGTGTTTCCCGCAGTTACGTAAATAGATAAATAATCGGGTTTTTTTCTTCTGGCTAACAGTAGACATGATCATGTTTTCATGGTTTCCCTGCATTTTACTTTACCTTTTGCAAATCTTTTCTCCAAAGATAAGTATTATTTTATTTATCTACTACTTGGAGATTTTTGCAATTCTTTTTCACTAATTTAAACGATTTTTTCCCCTTTTCAACTGAAGTTTCCGTTTACGAGAACGAGATTTTTTTAAAAGCTCTCTATTGTTTTCTACTTCTTCGGCGGCCGTGCGCGTCGTACTGCGCGTGCGCTATAACCTCAGTTACCTAAACTGGACACTGTCATTGACACCGTAGTCTCTTTCAGCCAATGTAGCTGTAGTGGCGCCTGACGCATCCTATTTTACAGGACTTATTATATATAGAATTTAGTACGAGACTGGTTTAATATTATAGCGTTGATTAGAACTATACTTACAACATGTAGGACCAACTCCACTCCACGTTCCTTTAGCAGTACATCTCCTTACGTCATCACCATTTATGGTATAACCAGACTGACATGTGTATACCACAGTATCATTAAAGGCTGTCCCAGATGATGTTAGGTCCGCATTACGTATGGTTGGGGCCGGACCACAAGACAGACCTTCAATACAAGTGAGGTATTAGCAAGTCATGTGACCATTCAAGAAGTCAGGTACTATCGTCGTGTACGGATTAACGAAGTACGTCATAGGTTTCCGAACACACGAGTGTGACTTAGAAATTTTGCTTCTCCTCACTTAGAAAAAAAATTAAGTGAAGACACCAAGAATCGAACTCGGTACCTTCGGCACCAAAGAACTACTACAATGCCAACCCCAACCCTAACCCTAAACCTAACCCCTAGACCACGAAGTGAATTCGGTTGGGTGGTCTCATTTTTTAGTCATATTTAAATGATGTATCATCAGCGCGTGTACATAAATATTTATTATAGTTTAATTTATGCTATCGTAGGGTACGACTACTAGCCGATTACTCGAAATTTGAATTTGAATAGAATTCCCCTGACAATTCCCGTACACGACGATACAACCAGAAGTCATGTGACTTCATTCAGTGAAGGGTTTACGAACATAGTTCATCAATATAGGGAGGTTCGCAAAGTACTCTGCAATATCTGGGTGTCTCTAGACTGTTACGAACATAGATTAGAAATGGCGCGCGGGAGTTTAGATCTACACTGTGGAAGTTATAAAATGCCAGGTTTTTCTTCAAAATATTCCATAATGCACTGCTCTAAGGAGTACCATTACAAAAATACTTTAACTGCGGTTGGCTTTTCCGACGCTGAATGTCCAGTAGCGACCTTTCGGTGCAAAGGATCGTGTAAATGGATTCGTGCGCAAGATGTCAAATTTCCGTTAACTTCTAAATGTAAACCCAGCCCCCATTACCTTTTTTGACGCAGCTATATCCACATTGGGAATCACACAGACAGTCAGAGTCTGGTTCAGGACATCCCGCGGAGGGTGCACACTGGGTTGTACACGTCCCATCGCGGATCATCGAAGCACGAGAACAAGCTTGACCTGTATCATACAAAAAACGCTTTCATAAGTTAAAAGTTATGACGTGCTTTACTCGTAGTTACTTTGAGCCCGGATTTCTAGATCTGGCTAAGTTTCGAGGTCATGTTTGGCTTGAATCGGGATCCGGACCCCCCTTCCAGACCCTAGAAGGCACTATAAACGTCCTTTTAAAGTTTTTAAGTCACTGGTCATCGATGTGAATGCAAAACACTTGATCCAAAACTCTCGTGTGGTTCAAAAGAACAGACAGATGAAAGCAAAGAAAATTAGTTTAATGTTTAAAATACCCTTTTTTCTGGTCACGGCTTCCAATAAAGTAGAAAAACTTTCACATTCGCATGACAACAAGCTCCACAACCCGCTGTTTGGAGAGTTGAACAATATTAGGTTACTACGTCATGGCAGAACTAAAATAGTGTATCCTTGTTTCCATATATACTTTTTTAGTTTGGTAATACATGAAATGCTTTGAAACCCTGACTAGCCTTAGCGTACATCACCGTCTTTTCCTATCCTCTGCTATACTTGACTATCTATTGCTGTCTCTCATAAATAAAGAAATTTCATCGTAGAACGCTAAAAATTCATATATCTATCTAGCATTATGGTTTCTTGAGTAAATGCGAGACGGAATAAAATTTCAATGCACCAAAAAAACTGTCACAAATTTTCCTAAGATCGTCTTTTTTGTGCGAAAAACGTTCGTACAATTAGACGGAACATGCGCACAACTTTCCTTAGTCGGTTTTTTTTTTAAGCTTGCTTAAAGATTATTATTATCGGACAAAGAAACAGCAAACGATTGTAATTTCTTACTGAAACCCCGTAACAACGACTCACTTCTCATGATCATCACTGCCAAGAGTTACATGTTGGTTTTCTTTCGTGCTTCAAGAGTTTGTCTCCTGGTTTTTGCGGTTTTTCTCCCTCCGCAAAAAAA